ATTGAACTCATGACCGCCTGCTTGCAAGCAGGTGCTTATGCTGCTGAGCTAAATCCCCAGGCCTCTGCTATTGATTTTTGAGTATTGACTTTGTATCCAGCTTTATTTCTGAATTTATTTATTATATCTAGGAGTCTTTCAATGGAGTTTTGGGGGTCTTCTATGTAGAGTATCATGTCATCTGCAAATAATGATAATTTAATTTCTTCTTTTCCTGTCTTTACTCCATTTCTTTCTTTCTCTTGTCTAATTGCTCTGCCTAGTATTTCCAGATGTTGAATAGGAGTAGTGATAAGGGACATCCTTGTCTTGTGTCTGATTTTAAGGTAAAGACCTTTGGTTTTCGGCCATTTAATATGATGCTGGCTGTTGGTTTTTCATAGAGGGCCATTATCATATTGAGGTAAAAACCAATTTTCTGTAAAGTTCTTATCATGAATGAGTGACCTTATCAAAAGCTTTTTCTGCATCTATAGAAATGATCATATGATTCTTACTTTTGGCTTTATTGATATGGTAGATTATATTTATTGATTTACGTATGTTGAACCATCCCTGCATGCCTGGGATGAATCCCAGTTGGTCGTGGTGTATAATCTTCTTCTTCTTTTTTTTTTAACTCTCAAGTAGCACTGAAGGTGTATACTCTTCTTGATGATTTGCTGCATCCTATTCACCAATATATTATTGAGGATTTTTGCATTTGTGCTCATTAGGGAGATTGGCCTGTAGTTCTCTTTGTCAGTTGGGTCTTTCTCAGGTTTTGGTACTAGAGTAGTATTTACTGCCAGGAATAACTTAGGAAGAACTGCTTCCTTTTTTTTTCATTGAAGAGTTTGAGAGTGTCAACATTAAGTCTTCATATTTCTTATAGAATTCCACAGTGAATCTGTCTGGGCCTGGGCTCTTCTTTGTAGCTAAGGACTTAATTACATTTTTAATTTCATTAATAGAAATTGGGTTATTCAGCAGTTTTACGTCTTCTTGGCCCAGCATTGATAGTTCATATGTTTTAGGAATCTGTCTATTTCTTCTGTGTTATCGAACCTATGAGAGTAGAGGTTTTTGAAATAGGTGATGATGATCTTCTGTATTTCCACAGAGTCTGTAGTGATTGCACCATTTTCATTTCTTTTTGCATGAATTTGAGTTTTTATTTTCTTCTTTAAATAAGGTTGTCTAGGTGCTTATCAACTTTACTTATTCTCTCACAGAACCCACTTTTTGATTCATTGATTCTTTGAATTGTTTTCTTGGTCTATTGCATTAACTTCCGCCCGATTTTTATAATTTCCTCCCTTCTTTTGGCTTTGGGTTTGACTTGCTCTTCTTTTTCTAGATATCTGAGGTGCAGCATCAGGTTGTTTATTTGTATTCATTCTGTTTTCCTGATGTGGGAATTCAGTTCAATACATTTTCCTCTAAGGACTGCTTTCATTGCATCCCACAAATTCCGGTAAGTTGTATTTGCATTTTTGTTTGCTTGTAGGTATTGTTTAATTTCTTCTTTAATTTCCTCTGTGACCTACTGATTGCTCAAGAATATATTATTCAATTTCCATGTGTTTGTGGGTTTTTTGCAGTTTCTTTTATCATTAATTTCTTGTTTCAATGCAGTATGATCTGATAACATGCATGAGATAATTTCAATTCTTTTGTATTTACTTAAATATGTTCTGTGGGCTGGTACATAGTCTGTTTTAGAGAATGTCCCATGTACTGCTGAGAAGAATGTATATTCTGATGTTGCTGGATGGAACACTCTGTATACATCTATCAAATCCATTTGTTCACAGGTGTGATTCAGTTCTGTTATTTCTTTGCTGGTTTTCTCTCTGGTTGGTGTGTCCCTTTGTGTCAATGGTGTGTTAAGGTCTCCTGTTATAATTGTATTATTGCTTATTTGATTTTTCATTTCCATTAATACTTGCTTTGTATAGCTGGGTGCTCTGGAATTTGGTGCATATGTATTTAAGATTGTTATTTCTTCCTCTTGAAGTTTCCCCCTAACTAGTATGTAGTGACTTTCTTTATCTCTTCAGATCATTCTTAGTTTGAAGTTCACACTGTCTGCAAACAGAATAGCTGCCCCTACTTTTTTTAGTTCCTGTTACATGAAGTATTGTTTTCCATTCTTTGACTTTCAGTCTATGAGTTTCCTTTTGTGTTAGATGGGTTTCTTGTAGACAGCATAGGGTTGGATGTTGTTTCTTGATCCATTCTGCCAGTTTCTTTCTCTTAATTGGTGAATTGAGACCATTTACATTAATGGTTATAACTATTATATATGGGCTTATTGTTGATGTGTTATGTTTCTGCTGTTGTATCTTTACCTTTCCATTCTGTTTAACTGTCTACCTTGCTTAGTGGTTTCTAGAATGTGTTTCAGTATTCTTTGCAGGGTTGGTTTGATGATCATGAAATTCTTCAGCTGTTCTTTGTCATGGAAGTATCTTATTTCTCCATCCATTTTGAAGGACAATTTTTCTGGGTACATCAGTCTAGGATGGAAGTCATTTTCCTTTGGCATCTGCAATACTTTGCTCCATGCTCTTCTTGACTTCATTATTTGTGTTGAGAAGTCTGGTGTCATTCTGATAGGTTTTCCTTTATAAGTGATCTGTCTTTTCTTCCTAACAGCTTTTAATATTCTACTCTTATGTTGGATTTCTGGGATGGTGATTATTATATGTCTGGGTGTAGTTTTATTTTGGTTATGGCTATTTCGAGTTCTATATGCTTTATTAATCTGTATATCCATTTCCATTCCCATTTTTGGAAATTTTCAGCTTTTACTTCTGTAAATAGCCTCTTGATATCATTTGTGTTGGCCCCTTCTTTTTCATTTTTCCCTATCAATCTTATGTTGTTTTTCTTTGCATCATCTTGCAGCTGTTGAATTATTTCCTGATTCCTTGTTGTTTTTAAAAGCTCTTTCCTTTCCTATTCACTAGCTGCAATCTTGTCTTCGAGGTCTGAAATTCTATGTTCACTTCCATTGAGACAGTTTTGACAACTTTTAACGGAATTTTTGATTTCCTGTATATCTCTTTGCATGTGCTTCATGTACTCTGTTTCTTATATTATTCATCCAGGGATTCTATCTTTTTGCATTGTTCCTCTATTTTTTTTTTTACTATGTCTTCTTTATGTGTGTTCAGCATTTCTTTCATTATTTTTTCATTTGTTTTTATACCTGGGAGATTATTCCTAATATGAATTTCTCTACAGCTTCCTGGAATTGCTTCATTATTTCAGTTGCTATTATTTCACGTATTTCAGGTTTATATTTTCTTCTATGTTACATGGTTCTCAGTCCTTCTTGGGGTGGCTGGAGGTTTGAAATTGCATTTTGGTCTTTTGTTTTGTCACTTTCCTGTATTCCTGTGTTTCAAGTGATGTTCCAAAGCTTCCCCTGGGTGTGTTGGAAATCGTCTCCTATGCCCTTGGCCCCTGGGACTGAAAATAGGTTGCTGAGTGTGGTCCAGTCAGGCCAGCAGGACCTCCTGTGCCACCTTTGGTGTCCCAGGAAACTGGTTGGGCTCCTAACCACTGTAGGTGGTGGGCCAAAGCACTCCCTGGGCTAACTTTGATGTAGCTCACCTTGCGTGCCCTCAGCTCCCCTGATTGAACGAAGGTCCCTGGGCATGGTCTAGTTGGGCCTGTGAAACCTCCTGAGCCTAGTTCAGTGTGTCTGGAAGCTGGGCAGGCACTTAACCGCTGGGAACGATGTTCTTAAACTCTCCCCAGGCCTGTGGCTGTGAGCTGGAACTCACCTCAGGTGGCCTTAGCTCCCCGGGTTGAATACTATCACATCTAGCCCATCTTTTACAGACAAATTTAATATCACAACAAAAGAAAGCAAACTGGAGAATAGTCACATGTATTAGAATCTATAAAGCTGTAATGGTATGAAGATATCTATAAAAATCATGACTTTAAAACTTTTTTCCTTAACAGTCTCAGGAATCAACCAACCAGAGGATGTTGCTGACAACTCATTTACTGATGATTAGTGAGGTCTATTGGCAAAGGAAGACTGGTGGTTGCTACTGGAGCTGTTGCTGGTTTCATTCAATGTATTGGAAATATGAGGACACTGTGGATGAGGATCCTGCACTGGAGTCCTGGCGCTGGGCAGAGAGAAAGAGGTGGAGAGAAAACCTCCTGGTTGGCTGTTGGCCTTGTCACTCTCAGAGTCACTTTGCAGTGCTCCAGATTTTACCAGCCCATATCTCTGGTGATCAATTTTCATTCTCGCTACAAGTAGGTCGAATTCTGTATTTCAAAGGATGTGAGCCATTTCTTCTCCAGGTATAAATGTCCATTAGTGGATAGTGAACCTTTAAAGGTTCCTCTTCATATGTGACATCATGCTGGGAAGTGTTAGATATGTCCATTTTGCCTCTGAGAAACTTTCTTAAGTGTATCACAGTCATAGCTGCTGGGCATTGTAAATATCTTTTATCATTTACTTCCTCCTTAGACTTCTCCTTGTTTTTGTTTACTTTCTGATCCAAACTGTTCTGGTCAGAGAGTTCCATGGATAAGCATACTATCTCATCATCAATTATAATTCTTTTCTCTTCATCTGCAGCTTCTCCTCTGTCTTCATGAGAGCCATTGGCAGCATCAGCTGAAGGATGAACTGCATAAAAGTCCTTTCTTCCCTTGGGATTTTAGCTCAGCATTATAAGCGAGGTGGTGAGTTTGATCCCTGGTTACCCCCCCCAATCCTTTCTTCTCTTCATTTCATTTTTAAAAAGCCCTGAAATTAGTTTTTATGTGGTATCTTGAAGTGTATGATCTGACCTTATATTCAGTAGCAGTCTGGCTTTGTGAACTTGGACATCACAGATAGAATAATACTTGCTGAACTAATGCACAATACTCGTTTTACAGAAGGAATGGAGACTTGCTCTTACAGAGAAGTACCCTCTGCAAAGCATGCACATTAAGTGGTGATTTAGGGGCCTGGGGTCTAGCTTAGTGGTGTAAGTGCCTGCCTGGCAAGTGCAATGTCATGAGTTCAATCCTTGGTACCAAAAAAAAAAAAAAAAAAAAAAAAAAAAAAAAGTGGTTTAGCTCAGTGATTTTGATTCAGTAGTTTGATGCAGTTCTGCTCCATAAAAGGTAGCAGCCAGTGAGAGGGGATCCAAGCGGTTAGAAAAGACAATGAAAGTTGAAAGTTGTTCTGCACAAAATGAATGTGAGCCAATTAGCATGTTTAGGTGAGCTGTAGACACCCCTGCCAATGGGCAAGGAGTGCAGCCAGAGGAACCGGGGCTGCTTGGCTCCGCTCAGGCTGCCTCTGAGCCCCGCCTCCTCCTCTGTGTTCTTTCTGTTTTACAGTTATGGAAAACCGCGTTATTGCCAGCAGAGCAGTATGCAGAAGCGTTTCACCACTGGAAGCTTCCATTTTCTCTACCAGCGTATTTTCTTCCCAGCCCCTCCTTGGAAGCACTGGTCTTTTTACTATCTCGAAACTTTAACTTTTCCAGAATGTTTTATAGCTGGGATCAAATAGTATGAACATATTCAGACTGACTTCTTTTGGCATAATCTATTTCAAGTTCCTCCTTGTGGTTTCCTGGATTGAGAGTTCATTTAATTTTGGATACTGTTATATTATATGACTATACCATAGTTACTTGTGAAAGACATTTTGGTTATTTATTCCAGTGTTTTTTATAGTAGTGAATAAACCGCTGTGGACATGCATGTAAAGTAGGTGTGTGTGTGTGTGTGTGTGTGTGTGTGTGTGTGTGTGTGTATACAAGTCTTCATTTTATTTGGAGAAACATCTAGGAAAATATTTGCTGCCTTGTATGGTTAGACTACATATGGCTTTGTAAAAAACTGTCAAACTACCTCCTACTATGACTGAAGCATTTTGCATTTCCACTGCCATGAATGAGAGTGCCTGTGTTCCACATCGCTGATAGCATTTCAGATGGTCAGCTTTTTAGATTTTAGCTATTCTAATGGAAGTGAACCAATATTTCATTCTTGTTTGAATTTACAGAACTTTTGGTTATATTTTTACATATTTATTTGCTACTGATTTGTTTTTATTTTTGGTGAGGTGCCTAGGTTTTTAAAACATGCTAATTGCTTTTTTACTGTTATATGTTAAGAGTTCTGTGTGTGTCTTGCACATCAATCCTTCACCAAATCTGTATTTTACAAATAGTTTCTGCCAGTATGTGAGCTGTTTTTCCCTTCTTTTAACCATCCCTTTCATTTTGGCCTTTTTTTACAGTTAGATTTTATTGGTACATTTTAGATATACATAATGATCACATTCATCATAGAGAATTTGTACTTGTATGTGATACAACTTTTAACCATGGCTTGCTCAAAGCAGCAATATTGAGCTTTAATGAAGTTCAGCTTACTGATAGTTTTCACTCACACATGGTGCTTTCTTTTATGAATAGCATATCTAAGAAGTCATCATTAAAGATCACAGGTATTATTTTATGTTACCTTTTAAGAATGCCTTAATGTATTTTATGTAGTTTTAAGAAAATACTTGGATCTGGGTACTTTATAAAGGAAAGAGTCCTTTTGTTATAGTTTTGTGTTTATCGTTCGTGGATTTTCAGTGCTGTGCATTGACTCAAGGTCTTACACATGCTAGACAAGCGCTCTACCACCTCGATTAAATCCCTAGCCTAGGACAAGATTTTCTTTTGGCTTACAGTTCTGGAGGTTAAATGGTGACTGCATCTGGTGAGGTTCTGTGTTGTTTCACAACGTGGAAGCTGGTACCTCAGAGTGGGAGCATGGGTAACAGTTCACATGGTGAGAGAAGACAACAACTTGTTCTCCAGGGAGCTGGGCTGGTCCCGCCATCTTTGCACACTGAATTAATCATGGAGGAGGAGCCCCATGATTTCATCATCCTTTAGATTCTTCTCCCAACCTTGCCTCAATACCATTGCATTGAGAACCAATTTTCTAGCATGTGAATATTTGGAGGGCACACTTGCACTGTATCCAAAGCCCAGCAAGGAGTCTTACAGTTTTGTACTTCTTCTGTATATCTTTGGTGTATTTATATCTAGAGTAAATCTACCTAGATTTGTTTATACTTTGTATGCAGATGTCCAGTTGTTCCATCTCCACTTGTTAAGAAATTGTCCTTTCTCTATGAAATTGTACCTTTGGTGAAGATCACTTGACTTCTTTACGTAGGCCTGTTTCTAGGGTCTGCATGCTTCTCCACTGATCTTTTTCTCTTATTTTTCTTTCTTCACCAGTTCTATCTTGTATTCCATACTGTAGCTTTACAGTAAGTCCTAAAGTTGGAAGTGTCAGTCCTCTGGGGAATTTTCAAATCTTTGCCATGAGAATGCGGTTGAGTTCCTAGAAGTAAAAAGTACAAAAAAATGGGTATTCTGTAACTCTTATCCCCGAGGAGTTTTAAATTCTCAGGTAAAGCCCCTCAGCTACCACTAGTTTGACAATTGACACTTAAGTGTTCCTATCAGTTGTTTGATCTGAGTAGTTTCTGGTTTTTTTTTTTTTTTTTTTTGCGTACTGGCAGTGATCAAACTCATGTCCTCACACTTGCCAGGCAGGGGCTGTACTCCTGAGTTGCATCCCTGGCCCTCCTAGTAGTTTCTGTTCTTGGTCTGCTGTAACAGAATAAATGGAAAATTTATTCTGTCTTTTTTGTTTTTGGGGTGATGGTCCTCCCATCGACCAATTCTTTGACTAATTAATAGATTTTTTTTAAACTTTTTTTTTTTAAATTGGTACTGGGGATTGAACTCATGATCACCTGCTTGCAAGGCAGGTGCTTATGCGGCTGAGCTAAATCCCCAGCCCCTAATTAAGAAATTTTTAAAAAAATTGTGAGAAGTGGTAGCTTTTCAGATAGCTGCATGTCCAGTACAAAAGTAAAATGTCCTGTAAAAATTGTACATGACAAGATCACCAATCATAGATGTATAATTCAATGATTTTACTTGGTTGGTAGAACTGTGTAACCATCCTTTGCCTTTCCTTTTAGAATACTATTGTCACCTCTCCACATTCTCTTAAGTCTCTTTGCTGGCATTGTCTTCATTCCTGCTCACCATGAATGTGTTTGAGTAAAGCAAACATTTGCAAAACTCTTATTAAGTTTAAATTCCTACTAGATTAGGGTTTTATGCAGTGGATGATTCTGTTTATTTTTCAGAGAACTAATGGAAAGATTTTATTCTAAGGACATAGTTTGGGAGACCTTAAGACTAGTGGCTATTTCTTGCTGTCCTTGATTTGGCCTCTCTTTGATGGTGACCTATAAATCTTGTGCGGTGAGCTCAAAGGAAGAAGGTGGTAGAAAAAATCTTTGATTAGAAAGAGATAATTAATTTGTAGGGAGTGTTCTTTAGAGTTAATAATTTTACCATTTGTATTTTTTCACAAATTTTGTTGGATTAAAGAGGCATTAAGTGAGTGCAATGCTTTTCATCTCTCTTTTAGGGCCTGAAAAGTCTCTTAGTCTTTCTGTGTCTCACTTTCTTCCTTGCTAAGCTAAAGGTCAGACTGTATCTCTGAGGGCCCTCCCTGATTACTTTTGCTGAATCCTTCAGTGGTATGAGGTGTGCTTTTAGGTTTTATGGGGGACTCTACCTAAAAACTGATTTGATCTGCACTCTATGTGTCTCTTACAGGAGCCCGAGCTGCATCGAGTTCCTGAGAAACCATTGCTGAAGGAGGAGATGGAAGAAAAGATGTCAGCGGGTTTGGAGGTTGAGGGTAACTCAGAATGGGCAACGTCCTGGTGAGGCAAGTGGCAACTGAAGAGGTTAGAGTAAGAATGTTGTATTCAGAAGTTTCAGGAGAAGCCTAAGAGTGCCTCATCCTCCATCCCTTGCAGAAGCAGCCTGAGCTGAGCAGCACTGAGTGGGAGGGAAATGTATTCCAGAGTGGATTTGTTCACCTGCTCAGTGAGCTCCTCTCAGGGAGGATTTAAGACAGGTTTATATTGCCTGCAAGCTCCAACTTCACATGAAGGATGATATGACCATGAGGCTCTGCCCTGGGTCCCAGGGCATAAAATTGGAAGCTGCCCTCACAGTTGACATCCATAAAGTGATATGGACTCAGAGGGAATAAACTCAGAGGGAATAAACAAGACTTACAGATGTTGAAAACCACTATTTGTGTGCTCAGCAGTTCTGTTCTAATTTAAGGAGCTCAAGGGTAGTAGAACTTGTTCTTCATAACTAGCAACTTATGCCTTCTTTGTCTACTTTCAGTTGAGAAAAGTTTGAATGAAGCCAGCATTTCTCACATGTTTGCTAAATAGCTTAGTTATCTTACCCTTTGTAAAAAAAAAAACCTGGGGGTTTAAATATAAGTCATATTTCAGTGGAGAAACAAGAGTCATGAAGGAAACCACAGAAACAGTTTCAATAAAATGTGGTCATCGCCCTCAACCGAGGAAGTACGGAATGTGGGTGGGCAGGTCAAAGATGGTGTTCCTAAAGCAGGGCGTGGTGGCGTACACCTGTAATCCTCGGACTGGGGAGGCTGAGGCAGGCGGATATTTGTGAGTTTGAGACCAGCCTGGGCGACAAAGTGAGTGCACCGACAGCCTAAGCTGCATAGTGAGATCTTGTCTCAAAAAAAAAAAAAAAAAAAAAAAAAAAAAAAAAAAAAAGATGGTGTTCCTCTTGACAAGGTGACCCAACAGAGAAGACCCTGAGGACAGTCACAGTTTTCTGTAGTGCTCAATGATGGAAGGAATGTGATAAGGTTTGCATGGTTTCTGGAGACTGTTTCCTTTTGGGAGAATGAGAGCATCTCTGACAGGATGCTTGGGTAGAAATACAATTGTAAAAATCAGAGGTTATATACTTCTTTGTGTTCTTTGACTGGATGCTTCTGAGAGCCCTTCAGTGTTTGGCCTTTAGTTGGAAACTGTGAATACAGAGACACATAAAACACTATTTCAGCATTCATGGAGCTCTGAGTCTCAGCAACCAGTGACTCATGAGAGTGACTGAAACTCATTCGAGAAAGTAACCAGCATTGTGTGGGAATACACCAATGTTTGTGTTGATTTTATTGTTCTTTCTTTTTTCCAACAGCCAGAAGACCTGTATTGGGATTTCTGATCTGTCAGAATAATACTAGCTAGTAGCTGGGTGTGATGGTGCATGCCTGTAATCCCAGAATTCAGGAAGCTGAACCAAGAGGATCACTTGGAGTTCAAGGACAGCCTGGGATACATAGTGAGTTCAAGGACAGCCTGAATTACAGAGTGAGACCCTCTCAATAAAAGTAATATCTGTTGGTGAGGTCGAAGTGGGGCGAAAGCAGTATATACAGCCAAGATCTGAAAACTAAACTGATGACATCGGTAATTCCTTGCTATTTTCTAGACAGCAGGAGAGATGAAGAGGTAAGTTTAAATGACTTATAAGTTCATCACTGACAAATTTATCATGAAATTCTCTGCTCTCTGATATATGCTTTCCAAACTTCACTACTTTCTTTTCTTTTATAAAAGTAAACTAAATACTAGCCATATTCTCAGACATGCAGTGGTTGTTATTTTATCCTCAAATTTCCGATTGAACTGGATGGAAAGGATTAAAGAATATTTTATGCTTGTAGTAGAAATGTAGAAAGAATGGTGTTGCTAAAATCCTGACTTTATGACATTCAAGTGGTTGATAAACAACTTTTACTCTCCTCCAAAGAGAATAAGCTAACAACCTCACTCTGCATTTCTTTTTACCCTATTCAATAAAAGTTTCTATGAAGATAAAGAATTTGGATTTTAAGTTAATGAAGCTTTTTTTGCTATGTCTCTGTTTAAAACATTGTGGTAAGCATGCTAGGGAGATGCAGGGAAAGATTATGCCAATTTTTACTGAAAGGACCTTACCGTGTTTGTTCCACATTCATTAAGGGTTCTCAGCAGGTGAGAACATCAATAGCAAAACCTGTTTTGGTGAATATATGGGTAAACTGAATGAAAACAAAAATACATCATATTCACACATATTTTTCGAGAAGTTTTTGCTCATCCTCAAGTTTGTATGCAATAAACTGTTGCTAACACTCTGACAGCTAGTAAAAAGTTCTTGTGAGGCTAAAATAAAATCTGTAACATATACAATCTGCAGTGGTTAGTCACATAGAAAGCAAAAAACATTTTAAAAGACTCATAAAAACACTATTCTAACCCTTCTTGATATTAAGAGGTAGTGATGTCAAATTTAACTTGGGTGTAATGAAAGGCCTAGTTATCCCAGGGAGAAAAAAACAAGACAACTTAAGAATGGAAAGTAGCAAGAATGATATTGAGAATATTAAACATTTAAAATACAAACATTTTATTCTGTTAGTATTATATGTTGTTTTTTCTTGTGTAATTTTAATAATTCAGAAATAATGGGCAAATATTCAAAGAAGAACATCATGATAGTTTTGTATTTTTATATTCACATGATTTTACAATTTTCACTTAGAAAACACCTTAAGATCCGCTTTAATAACAAGGAAATGGTGAAGTGACTTCTACACAGCACCAAGGAAAACATGACATGTTTGGAAATGATTTCTGCTTTGATGATTCTATGCATACATAGGAATGAACACTGTGAAATACACATTGGTATTCAGGGAAAGAGGTAGTTGTTGGCCCAAGAAGACACAATTATTAAGAATTTGGAATGAGTGAGAATTTGTCACCAGTGATGAGTTTTGGGAAAAGACCCAATAGCTTTGTATATCTGCATGACTTTGGCTGGTGGAATCATGGGGTTCCTGACATTCTGTGACCTAACAATGTTCTGTTTCCATGGTTGCAACTGCCAACATTTACCTGCTTCATTTGACCCTCCATATTTTTTCTGTTGGAGTCTGCGCTACAAGCAGTGTATTCAGCTCTTGTTTTTGATACTTTTTTTTAAGGTTAAGGATTCTTAAGTGTTGTGGGTTTTGATCAGCTTGACAGTAAGTTAATAAGTATAGCTGTTGTCATCCCTCAGTCCTCATCCAATCTATTTGATTTCGTTTGGTTTTAACCTATCATGTGTTTGTGGTCGTCTTCACAGTCTGTGGCTCTACCTTTTCCACCACATACGTCATCATGGGGATACGCACCGGCCCTTCTTGTCATTTAAAGGACAAAGTGAGTGTTTCAGAAACTGAACAGAAATTACGAGTGCAGCTGGAGGAAAGTAAGGAGAACTTTTACAAACTCAAAGAACGTTTTCTTCTGTCTGAAGCTACTGTCTATGCCATGGCTAATGAGCTTCAAAAGCATGGTAAGTTCTATGGTTTATGATCCCCAAAGTGATGAGTATTTTTTTTTTTTTTTTACTGTGTTAAAGAAACTTTTCTCTAAACTTGATTTTTCTCCCTCTTTTGAAAAGGGGTTTAAAATTTTAAATAAAACCATGTCAAAATGCATGCCAAGACCAAGTGGACATGTCCAGATAAATGTGATTACAGAACATACCTTTTTGATGTGTTTGTCTAACAGATATCCTTACAATAATACAACTTCCAGTGTTCCTTTGTATAATTAATGTCTTTACTGCCTTTGTATAACTAGTCTAATGGTCTTGTAATGTAACTTAAAGTGCAGCAGAACATTTCTCCTCTGTATAACCCACACTTTGTATAACTGATAGCCTTATGATGTAACTTGAAATGTTTAAATTCTCTTAGCAATCCATAATGTCCACTCAATCTATCAACCATATGCACTGAATTTCCCGGCATACTTTTCCTTTAAAAGTCCTAAAGCCCTGACTCTGGCTTTTTAGGAAAGATCCTAGTCTGAAGCCCAGTGATGTAATAAAGTGTCTCCTAATCCTCCTCTGTGCTGTTTCTTCCCATGTTTGATCTATTTTCCGTAGTACTTTCATCAAAATAAAGCTCACTTCAGTGTGCTCGTAGAAAAGTAGATGTTAGTTTTCTGCCTTCTAGTTAATGATGATGGAAGAACTGAGGCTCAAAGCATTGACCAAATTTTCTCTCTCCTTAAATTTTTTTTTAATTTTTGAGACAGGATATCTCTATGTAGCCCAGGCTGATGTCAAATTCATAGAGATCCTCCTGCCTCAACTGGGACTATAGACATTTAACACCACAGATTTCTCTTAATTAATAGTGATATGTATGTAAGGCTAAGGTTATTATTTCATAGTGAAGTGTACAATGAGAGTAGGGTTAAATATGTTACTGATTCCTGATCCAAATATGGAATTATCTGTTTCTCTCAAGATCAGGTATGGCCATTGTTATTAGATCCTTTCTCTGTCCTGTGAAAACCTGCAGATATATAATATCATTGTTGTCCTAAAGGTCTAGGACCAATGGTATCTCATTTAATTCAAGCTTCTGTTGGCTTCTTATTGGCAAAATTGTGTTGATTGTGCTGGGGAAACACGCTGATAGTGCTCTTCTATTTTAATGGGCATTTTGCTCCTACCTGAAACTACAGCAGCCATAACTGTCACCATGGAGACCAGGGACTGCCCTGCTGAAGAAGCCGTGAGTCCAAGGTTACAAGCTTTCCCTATAAGTCCAAGAGAAGGTATTTCTGGGATAGTAAAGAACCTGTAGTGCCCCCTCTATTTATAGTGAGCCAGTGAACCTTGAGGTACACAGGAAGGCCAGCAGGCCAAAGTATACTACTAGGGTTCGAGCGATGAAACATGAGGCCAAAGGGAGACTAGGAGAAGCTCATTAAGTCACAGTGAGTCCCAACCTGTGTGCAGGGCAGCCTCCCCTCCTGCACAGAGCCAGGCAGCAGGAGCCCACTGGGCAGGGCAGTGAGAGGGACTGTGTCCACTGAAGGAGTCAGGGGACACGGCCTTGTGTGCAACAGCAGGAGCAGAAGCAATCTTGCCATTTCTGATCCTGAATTTGCCTCATTTATCAAATAACCTCAGATTCGATGGTAGTGTGTTCATTTCAGCTGAAAGGGACACACATTTTTATTTTATGTAAAAAACAATTTAAAAACAAAATGGGAGAATACAATAGTTAATATATTGCTTATTGTTATCTTCAAAGTAGTTACTCAGAGTATAAAATACAGGCATAAAATATTCTCCAAATGATATTAGCACAAACTTTTCTTTACAATTAAGAGAAACTGCTAATACAGCTATCTTGTATTTTCCCCCTTCCTTCCTTGCCTTTTCTACTACCCTATTTCTTTTTCCTTTGGAACAATTTCTTTCCATTTTACAATATCTATTGTACATTTTGGATCTTATTTACTATTTCTGTTTCTCATGCCACGGACATGATACAATATTACACATGAGTCTGATTTTTTTCACTAAGGAGTATGGTCTCAAATTGCATCCGTTGCCTGCCTGGCAAGTGTGCAGTCTTGAGTTAGATCCCTGGTGCCAAAAAAAATTACATCCATTTACCTATAGAAGTCTCCAGTTTTTCTTTCTTTATGACTGAGTAGTACCCCATTGTATAAAAAGATCATGTCTTTTTTTTACCCATTCCTCAGTTGATGGGCATTTGGGTTGTTTCCAAGATTTAATATTACAAATTGTGCTTATATAAACATAAATGCATATGTATCTCTGTGGTATGATGTTTTAAATTCATCCAGAAGTGAAATAGCTGGGTTGAATGGGACCTCTAATCCTAGTTTTTTGGGGAACCTCCATACTGACTTCCAAAGTGGTTGTGTAGAGGCTATTTTAATGGACAGAAAATTTAAAAACTTGTATGTTTAATACTGAACATATTTCTAACACTGTTCAAAGATGAAACTAAAAGATGCAGCCTGTTCCTATGGTTAGAAAGCTACAAACTTAAGGAGCCTTGTCACTCTGGGTGCCATTTTCAAGATAAGTATAGCTCAGCCACAAAGAAATGTTTCTCTTAATTTCAAGTCCCAGAGAGTTATCACTGCAAAGGCGTCTCTGCCTGGCCTCAAACAATGATGGATTCTTTCTCTATGTTGCACAATAGTAACCTCATATATTTTTTATTTCTGCAAGAGTGAATTCTACCTAGCAACTAATGACAAATACATATGTAACCAGTCAAGCATATTATGTTGTCTATCTTTTGTACGTCCTTTGGAAACATATATAAATGACTGGAAAACTCAGGTCGGGACTGATGATTTGGAACTGAGATTCCCATCAGCGCCCTAGAGTAGCAAATCTGCCTTTTAAAGTTTCTGGTGCCGTGTCTCTATTTTTTCTGGTCTTGAATTCCACATCAGTCACATAAGTCTACAATCCCAATAACAGTGGAGAAGAGTTCCTTTTCCCCCACAGCACCTCCAGCAATTGTTATTGGTTGATTTCTTGATTATAGCCATTGTTTTTGGAGTGAGATGAAATATTAGTGTTGTTTTAATTTGCATTTCTTGAATGACCAGCGATGTTGAACATTTTTTATTATATTTATTTGTTCTTTGTATTTCTTCAGCTGAGAAGTATATATTCATCTCAGATGCTCCTTTTGGGCTGGGTCTTTGAATTTTTGGGGATTTGACTTTTTTCAATTCTTTTTTATTTTAAAGAGGGAAAAACAAAACAGGAAACGAAAGAGACAAATGAACAACAATAGCAAAAATCTCAAAACAATAACAATATAGGCTTTCAAAACAAGGTGGTAGGAACTTAACAAAGGTTGTTATTTTGCATAGTTATTTTCAAAGGAGTTGCTCAGATTACCAGATATAGACATTCAAAATTGATCTAGTCCTATGAATGTTAACTGTTTTGTTCCAACAACTAATAGAATTAGTACAATCATTTTAGCTATCTTAAGTGTATATATACAAATTTATATCTTTTTTTCTTTTTCCTTCCATTTTTCTCCTTTTATGTATTCTAGTTATTTTTCCCCTTTGAGCAATTTCTTACTTTTTCACAATATTTACTGAAGATTTTGGGTCTTATTTAGTCTTTCACTTTCTTACACAATGGGGACAATATTGTATTTACACATGTGAGTCTGATTTATTTCACTTACGAATATGGTCTCAAGTCTCATCCATTTACCTATAAAAGGACCTCAATGTGATCCTTCTTAATAGCTGAGTAGTACTGCACTGTATAAAAATACCACATCATTTTTATCCTTTCCTCAGTTGATGGGCTTCATTTCTTTATATGTTATAGATATAAATCTTTTGTCTGAGAGACAACAAGTTATAGTTTTTCCCACTCTGTGGATTGTCTTTTCACTTTGTCAGTGATTTCTTTTGTGAAAAAGCTTTTTAATAAGATAAGATCCTAGTTGAAAAAGATAAAAATCAAAGCATGTTAAGTAGCCAAGAGATCAGTTTTGAGAAATGGCCACTTGTATTTCATTAACATCTTTACTTATAATCGGGATATTATTGCAACTAAAGAGTTTGAAGATGACAAAGAAGAAAGACATCCCACAAGTCTCTTTAAGAGATGACAGTGTGTCAAGCATGGGACCACTGCACCCATCTCCATGGCTCTAATCCAGGTTTCCTGTTTTCTCCTCCCCTCAGATTTCTCAGCTATTCATATAGTCTATGCTTGCACCTACCTCATGCACATGAATCTCATCTAACAAAACACCTACAACAATGCCTGTCTCAGAGTAAACACTAAGAGTGATATTTCTCTTTATCCTAACCTGACACAAAATTTGTTATGGCTGGTCATGTACTCTCAGGTCCTTATGCTGTTATGCTTTGTGCTATTCACAAATGTTTCCAGATAAGACTTAAAAAAAAATCCCTGAGAAACTTGTTTCTTACTGTAATCCAAACACAAAAATATTTTCAGCCCTAAAGTAGAATTAAGGTCATCACTTTTTCCAGTCCAGCTGTTTGAATTTAGGGGCAGGAGGCTTGGCAATTGTAGTTTTCCTTGATTCAGATTTAGACATTATGGATGTGACTTCTGACTCTGCATATACCAGATAATCATGTCAATGTATGTAGCTTTAAGGGTTTACATTTATTATCTCTGAAATGGAGGCCATGAAATGCTGTCTGCTTGAGAGACTGGACAATAAACATATAGACATGGCTGCACAAACCCATGTACTGCGATGTCACTTGTCTTACGTTGAGTGCACCCTCCTCTCCTGCAGTAGCGCTACAGTTACACATGCAGTTGTCCACTAATGCAGATGCATCTGTCTCTCTCAGGCTGTCAAAAGTTCAAAGACATTATTGAGTCTGTTCTGGGCGAGGAGCTAAATTACCTGGAAGGAAGTCTGGCCGAGAAGGGGAAGCTGGTCCCAAATTTGAGGTAAGTGGCTCTGTGCACTGGAGGTAGGGTGGAACATGTGTGAATGCCTAAGTGTTCCAGCTCAGGTGTGGGAACCAAGAGGTAGCCTGGTCCATGGGAGGGGCAGAAAACCACATAGAAGGTACATGCTTGACAAAGACCTGTGGTACCTTTAGGGAACAAAATACTTGGTAGAGGAGGCAATAAAATTTGATAAAGATTCTCATTTGTACTTCTTAAATTGTATTGAGCTTACTTTAAGTACTATAAAATTAAAGTGAACAATTATGGGACATTTGATGTGTTCCTTACCTTTGGTAGTGTGCAATTGCTACCTCATTTATAATATTTCTGATTTTTCTGTTGACTAGTGAGGACTTCTCACCTTTCATTCACAAAGGGATCTTCCTGAGCCTGTCAAGCTGTTTCTTTTATTTTCTCCAATTAGTCTCAGCTCCAACTGGACACATTTTTATTGCTTCACAGCACAAATGTACTATGTCTCTACTGACATAGAGATTCTACAGCCAATGAAGGGGGCTCTCTAGGAGACTGAGGGAGATGCCTGGTTTTGGTTGGAGCAGAGTAGATGAGGAGAATGCTGAGGAACTCTTATAGGAATACTTTCTGACAAGAGGACTTGTCTTTATCTTTATTTTCCTTTGCAATAGGCAGGTCACCAAACCTGCATCCTCCTTTGGGGTTTCTTGAAGATAAATCTGTGTCATAAATCTGTGTCTTCATAAATCTGTGTCAATGTCCATATAATATTTTCCATCTATTTCATCTAGGGAATACAGTTTCCAAATTCAAGACCAAGACCAGAAGCTGTCCGTATTTCAGCAGAAATTACAGCAGGGGATAGATGCCTCATATCTCCTGTGTAAACATCTCACGGATCACCTCCCCTGGGATGACCTTAATAATAATCAGGGCCACAAGTTCCATGAGCTGTTGGCTGAGGGTTGCAGGCTGGCAGAGGACCTTGTGCGAATTCTTAGTCCAGGTATGGCATCCACAAACCTCGATTACCCTGAGGAAGTCCAAGGTCTTCAACTCACAGTACATTTTGTCACAGAGTGACTTTTTTTTAAAAATTAGGTACATATGTCATATTTTCTGCCTAGGAAAAATCAAGGCTTCCTATTTATAACACTGGAGATAAATGCTCACAATGAATTTCCTGGAGTCCAGCTAAGTCCTTTCTTTCTAACAGATGTGATCTTTGGTTAAATTGCCAACATCCATGTAGAGTGAAAGCAGGAAAAGGAGATGTGGAAGAGGAAACTTGTTAGGGAAGAAAAATATTCTGGAATAAGAAAGAGAGTTTCTCAGCCTGCAACTTAACCACTTTCTTTACCTAATTATGTGTGATTGGTCATTGTTATTTCTTTTGAGGTTTGGTCTTCTGATCTTAAAAAAAATGGATGATACGGTCTTTACAGGTACCTTACTTGGTAATGGAATATTTGTGAATTCACTTAAAGAAGATGATCACCTTCAAGTTTTGATTTTCTTAGGTATTCAATACAGTATCACCTGATGAGAGGAGTGTTGCTTTATAACTGAGCACTTCCCAGAAATTCTCAGGGCAGGGCCTAGGCTGATTGATTACCTTTATCGTGACTACTGAGCCAGCAGTCATGAATTGTTATTAACAAAAGAACACAATTTACATTAGGATGCACTCTAGTTTAAATTACATGAGTTCTGGAAGATGGATAATGTCAGAGATCCTCCTTGGCCGTGCCTGAAAAGCCTGCTGTACTTCTCTATCTTGCTTTCTTTCACCCAATCCTTAAGGAATCATGTCTTTGTGTAACATCAGTGATGTGTTCTGCCTAAATTTTCTCACACTATGTGGCTTATTCTTTAATCATTTTAGCAACACTTCAACTGAGCCAAGGTCAAATTAGCAATGTCTAACTAAATTATTCTTTCACCATGGGTTCATTGCTTTCTATAGATCTGAGTTGCATCCAATATCATATCTTATATTATGATAGTTTTTAACAATACATTGTTTTTGCTGTTTTATACTTAAAAATTCTATTAGTAGATGTTTGTAGTTCATGCAATACACAGTCATCTTGGGGAGTGGTCACATAAAAATTGGTTTTTTAAAAATCCTCTTCCCCTTCCCTCCATCTACTTTCTTCCTCTTCCAATTCCCCTATTCCATTTTTGGATTCTTGTTGATATTTTTACATTAATTTTACTGTGACTCTTGATATACACAATGACCACATTCACTTTAGGGATTTTTGTGCCTGTACATAATACATCTTGCTTCTTCGTTTTTCCCTCTTCCCTTCTCCTCTTTTCAAGCCTCTTTCCCTCCTTATTTATAAAAGCTTTGTTTCCATTTTTCTTTTCTTTTTTTTTTAAAATTTTATTTAAAAGGAAAAAGAGAAAAACACAAAACAAAACTAAGCGGTGTAAGGGTACAAGTAATACAGAACTACAAAAAAAAAAACATTAAGAAATCACCAGTTAATAGATTACATATTATCATCTTAGAAATAGTTGCTCAAATCACAGTATCAAAGAATACAAAGTGGACATTCACACAGTGAGACTGCAAACAGTTGTGTTCAATGATCCAACCAAAAACATTAAGATGGTCAGCTATTTAACACCCCTAAACACACTTGCTGTTGTATCCTTTAGAGCTCTTTTTTTCCCTCTCTTTTTTACAACAAAATTTACACATTTTGGGTTTTATTACTCCTTAATTCTTATTACTTTTTTTGGGGGGGAGAGAATAAAGTCAAATATGGCAAAACAAAGCTGTCAGTCAAAACCAAGGATAGACATAGCACATGATGTAACACAGAGTACAAGGTTATCAACAATGGTTATCAACGATGTCTCTTGTTTCCTTAAAAAGAATTGTCTATCTCATTGGATATTATAAAGTTGAACAAAACAGTAGAGAACAAGACCAATAAAACTTAAGCATTGTAAACATTACAGGACTTCCAAAGGAGACAATAGTCAAACCAGAATGGGCATCTTAGTGAATCTTATTGCCTTCAAAGTAGTTGCCTATACCCTCAAACTTGATACTATCATACAGAATGGAACAGAGTCTAATCAGTCAAAACAAGATTATGGGAGTACTACAGGACTTCAAAACAAGTTAATAGGAAATCAAAAAAAGTTACTATTATATATCCTGCTAATTTTAAAAATTTTTCCCCTTAATTAAAACAAACATAAGAAATAACTATATAATTTTTTTAAAGAGTAAGGGAGAGATTGAGATAAAAAAGGACATAACAATATAACAATAGAGGTCAAAGCATGACTGTTTCAGCAACTTAGTGCTTCACCACCAAATAACCCGACTTAATAGTAGTTACCATAGTGTCTGTCTTTTACCTTGAAATATTTGAATATAACTTCATATACTATAGCTTCAAATATTTCCATATCAAGAAGCCCAGAATAAAGCCTTTCCAATTAATAAGTGAAAACTTTATAAGCCTTCAAGGCCACATAAGGGGAATCATGATTACCACATATTTTTATATATTTGAATCATTATTTACATTAGGGAAACTATTTGGTATTCACACATGCGAGATTGATTTATTTCACTTATGAGTATGGTCTCAAGCTGTGCCCATTTGTTGATAAATATCTTAATGTGATCCTTCTTTATAGCTGAATAATACTCCATTGTATAGAAATACCACAACTTTTTTATCCATTCCTCAGTTGATGGACACTTGGTTTGTTTCCAAAAGATCTGGCAATTACAAATTGTGCTGCTGTAAACATAGGTGCACATATATCACTGTGGTATGATGCTTTCAGTTCTTCTGGGAATATACCTAGAAGTGGAATAGCTGGAATAAATGGGACTTCCAATCCCAGCTTTTTGAGACATCTCCAGACTGACCTCCACAAAGGCTGCAACCAGTCTACACTCCCACCAACAGTGTAGGAGAGTTCCTTTTTCCCCACAGCCTCTCCAGCATTTGTTGTTGTTGGTTTTCTTGATCCTGGCCATTCTCTCAGGATTGAGATGGAATCTCAGTGTGGTTTTAATTTGCATTTCTCTAATGACCAATGATGATGAACATTTTTTCATGTATTTATTTGCCATTTGCATTTCTTCATCTGAGAAGTGCGTATTCATCTCAGATGCCCATTTTTGTCAACAATAGTGACTGTCCAAATACTTTTTTCCTATTAATTTTATCACTGGAGATATTACTATCATGGTTCCTCAAATCCCAACCACCATCCTTTTCTCTTCTGAATTGTCTTGTCTCTTTTAAGCTATCTTCTCCTGGTAGAATTTAAATACTTCTCGATTGTGTCTAGCATTGATTCTAAAGGCATATCATGAATTTTGACACTTTTCTTTCTTTTTTATTTACTTAATTACTTTTTTGAGACAGGGTCTCACGATGTAGTTCAGGTAGGCCTTAAACTCACTATGGAGTTCAGGCTGGCCTTAAACTAAGAGTGAGTCTCCTGCTTTGGCCTCCTGAGTACTGAGATGGTGTGCCACTGTGCCCACTGAGCCCTGACATTTTCAGCTGTTGAATGCAAAGTATTCTCTGAGGATCACCAAAGTTCCTTTTTTTCCTTTAAGGCTCTATAGAGTCTTAGAAAAAGCTCTATAGAAGTTTTTCCCTTTAAGGCTCCATAGAGTCTGTCAGTTTAGTCTCACTGAATAATCTCTGCTCCATGAGTAAGAAGCAGAATGTCTAATGGAACACACAGTCAAGCTTACTAAAGTTTTTCTAAAGCAATGAATTATTTCAAATGATTATTAGATTTAATGTAAAACCCTTAGTGATATTAACTGAACAGATTATGGAGAACTGGATAGTTACTAAGAAAACAAGCTATCTTATATTTTTAGTAGGAAGTAGTAGACTTCCTATGGTGTTCTTTTTTTTATTTAAGAAGAAAAAGAGAAAAAACAAAACAAAACAAAGCGGTGTAAGGGTACAAGTAACACAGAACTACAAAAAAAAAAAAAAAACCACTAAGAAATCACCAGTTAATAGATTACACATTATCATCTTAGAGATAGTTGCTCAAGTTACTGTATCAAAGCATAGAAAGTGGACATTAAAACAGCAAGGCTGCAAACAGTTGTGTTCAATGATCCAACCAAAAACATTAATATGGTCATCTATTTAACACCCTTAAACACACTTGCAGTTGTATACTTTAGAGCACTTTTTTTCCCTCTCTTTTTTACAACACAATTTACACATTTTGGGTTTTATTACTCCTTAGTTCTTATTACTTTTTTGGGGGGGAGAGAATAAAGTCAAATATGGCAAAACAAAGCTGTCAGTCAAAACCAAGGATAAACATAGCACATGATGTAAAAACGGAGTACAAGGTTATCAACAATGGTTAGCATAATGCCTCTTGCTTCCTTGAAAAGAATTGTCTATCTCATTAGGTATTATAAAATTGAACGAAACAGTAGAGAACAAGACCAATAAAACCTAAACCTTGTAAACATTACAGCACTTCCAAAGAAGATAATAGTCAAACCAGAATGGGCATCATAGTGAATCTTATTGCCTTCAAAATAGTTGTCTATACCCTCAAACTTGATACTATCATACAGAACGGAACAGAGTCTAATCAGTCAAAACAAAATAGTGGGAGTATTACAGGACTTCAAATCAAGTTAATAGACCACCTCCAAGAACATGAAACCTTTACATTTTCATCGCCTACATCTGGGATTCACAGGAGGCGAGGACTCAGAAGCTGCACTCTGACACCCACCACCTGCATCAGTGGCAAAGGATCCTGTGCCTGAGGGAGCACCTAGGGTTTTCTCCTGTGGAAGCATTTCTATATTTCTTCTCAGTCTAATCTCAGTATTTACTAATATCTGAAAAATATAAATAAAGTGCTTGATAGATCAAGGTAATCAAGGGGTCTGAAGCATATAGTTAGGAAAATTTCCTATGATTTCAAGGAAAAACTGTGATAAATATTCTTTCAAGAATGAGGAATTGTGTTGATGTTTTATTCCTTTTGCTCTTCCTCTTTGGTCATTTTTATCTGCATAAATGATGTTTCTATACTTGCCCATGTTTTTTTCAGATATCAAGTCTTTGGTTTTTGTTTTCTTTTACACTAATGGAGTTCAAACTCAGGGCCTCTTGCTGCTAGGCAGGTATTGTACCACTGTCTAATAACGCAAATCCTGTTCATTTTTTGGTTTCATTTTCTTTTTTTTTTTGCATCTTACACTTGGAATACCCTGTCCCCATTTCTTCAAGGCCCTAAGAGCTATCTCTAGTCTATAACAAGTTCATCTAGGCATTCTGTGTTACTGTGATGGTTGCTGCATTCATAACACTTCCTTTCAGTTCTCTTTGTCTCCCTATCTGGCTATTGTCTACTTCTCTCATTGTAGCTATTAGCATAATAATAATACTGTTTTTAATTTCTTGCTATGATAACTCAAAATGTCTGCTTAGTGTTTCTCTAATATCTATCCTTTTTACCATGAGAAGTCTTCAAATTTTTTTCTTGGAACCCACAAGATTAAGTACTTTTCTCATTGTAGCTATTAGCATAATAATAATACTGTTTTTAATTTCTTGCTATGATAACTCAAAATGTCTGCTTAGTCTTTCTCTAATATCTATCCTTTTTACCATGAGAAGTCTTCAAATTTTTTTCTTGGAACCCACAAGATTAAGTGGATGCCACCAATTGAAATAAATCTAACATTTAAGGAGCTTTCCTGTTTTTCTCAGGTGGGTTTAAGCTGTGTTTTCTGAACATTGCAGCTAACTTGCCATAGACTATATCTCCTTGACTTTTTAAAATTTTTGCCTGCTCTAGTGTCTTAGTTTCTTGTGGTACTTCTGATTAATGTCCGTGTCTGTAGTTCTTTCAGTTTTATTAATGTGTTAGGGCATTAGAGTGCTGTTGAGTGTGAGTATGTTTGGAAAGAGACAAAGCATTGCACAGTACTATAACTTATACTCTGGATTTAGTGAGCCTATGCCTGGGCCTGTCATGTATTGTAAAGGCTTCCCAGTATTCCAACTATCTTTCCAATGTGTGTGCACCTTTCTGTATTATGATTGGACCCTCAGTAATGTGCTTGGGAGAGTGTTGTGCTATTTTCAACAGACTTCTCACCTGGTTCATCCAGAGAAATGGAATCCTCATGCTCATGGAACAGATTCCACATAGGTATCCTGGTTGTGTGTTTTAGGAGATGATTATTTTTATAACACTTGACTTGCATATACTCAATGGCTGAGTGAATATTTCCGATTTTTTTACAGAAAACCAGGACAATGAAGACAATGAAAAAGAACAGGAATCTCTGGCTCTCAGGTAATAATTATTGAAGTGCTGCATTAGGGTGAGTAATGTATGTCCAGTGTCATGACTAATTAAGAAAAGCTAAAGGTCAGCTGTAACCGTAGATTTTATGAGCAGAAGTTAACAAAAATGCTGGTGTGATTACATACCTTTGATTAATGAAGAAATAACCTCTTTGTACAAGGCATCCATTTTCCTTTAGATATACATCTGTACACCTAAATACAACCAATCTGATTATTAGTATTTAACCATACAGAATGTATTCTTCTCTGTTCATGGATCAATTGAGGATAAGATGCATGACTGGTTCTGTATGGGTGACCTTATCTTGTTGGCAGGGACTTCTTACCAATGAACATAACAAGATAAAAGACACTAATTGTGTCACTATATATACAGGAAGTATCTGGAATACACAGACATCTAATATTCTACAGTACCCTAGAAGCACTGAGTGTTTTGCTGTATGAAAACAACACAGATTAAAGAAATGGTGGAGCTTCTAGTTTGGTTTTACGTGTCTGGTTGTGGGATACAGAGAGCCTTAGGACTCCTTCCCTATCAGTTCATTTTTTAGTCAGTGCACTGGCCATGCCTGCCTGTCTCCCTCCTTCAAGGCAGGTGGACTCTGTTCTCCTCCTAGAAGGATAAACTTCTCTATGTTTGAAGTTAGCATGCCTGCTGTTGTGTGACCACTCACTTATACCTCTGTCAGGACCACCAAGATATCTTGTATTCAACTTTTCTTGCTTTAGTGATATTCTTTATGTCACCAGCCTGAGCACAGAGGGAATCAATGAGGAAAAAGTAGCAGAAATCCTGCCAGACTCATTAGGTGAAGGCCCTGAGACATCCAGCCATCACTATGATTTAACTGACATCCATGAGCCTTTCTGCACTGCAACTGCACTGTCAGATGCACATGAAGTCAGATCATCTCTGGATGCAGCTCGTGAGTTCTCCTTATAGAGAAAACTGAATATATATACTACCAAATTTTCTGAGAACTGAATGAGAGGTTCAATGTGGTATAATATGACTGCTCCCTTCTAACTTTATTTGCAGAAAATGTTCAAGATTGTAAGGATGAAGCCCCACTGCTAAATATGTCCAGGTAATTTACATTGCAAGATTTCTAATGCTAACTAAGATCCTATTAAGGAAGACCTTTAGGAAATGCAATCTGCTGAGTGTATCTAAAGAAACCTCAAAGCGTGTGTTGCATTTGATGTCAGCCAAAAGGCAGAGAAGTGATGTCAAAGTATATGTTGATGTGGCTCACAATGCTTGATTTTATGATATTTAATGTTACATCTTACTAGTATCTTAGATGACCTAAAATAGAATTCAGATGAACTGTGCATGCTCATGAATTGCAAAATTTTTGTTATATGATGTTCATTAACTTTATGATCAAAATCAGAGAGAGATGCATGTGTGGTCTTTGCAGTTTGGTTTTATAGTTTCTCTTCATAGTTTTCTCTTAGCCGGAAATATAAATAGATCAAGAAAAATTCAGGAATATGTAAGTACTATGTATACAATGGCTCAGGAATTCACTTGCTTTTGTATGTAACTATTCAAAAATATTTATGCACTGTTTATTCCGCATGTGGCAACCTATTTGAAGGAATCTGTTGGATGAATGCAAAGAAATCTTTCCCAAAGCCCTTATCAGTTACCTTCACCCCATTTACACTGTTCTTGTTTCCTTTCTACCTCCCCTAGGAAAGATTTTGTCATAATTCAGGATCATGCCAAGAAGCTGACCCAGTTACGTGAGCAGCTAGGCAAAGGGAGAGATGCCTCTTTGTCCCTTGAGCACCATCTGGAGTTTCTTCTCACCCACGATGACCCTGAGGACTATCAGGGTCAAGGCTACATACAACAACTGGCTCAGGGGTGCAAGATGGCTGCGAATCTTGTCCTGATGCTCAGTGAAGGTGAGGGGAACACATACCCTGATTAAAATGAGCTGAGTCAGGGAGATAAGCATTTCTTGAAGAGGAAGGGAACCAAGAAACGGAGATAAATTTCTCTGTCTTTACCTTCAAAGAGAGAGGGGAGTGACAAGGGAGTGACAGGGAATGTAAAAGGAACTAATATGTATCAAATATAAGTGCCAAACACACACAAAGATGCAAACCTTATGTCCTCCAAATATGTGCATAAAGGGATGAGGATCAAGAGATGGGGAAGGGGAGGAATGGTGTGACAGGGATGAGTAGTGGAATGGGTACAAGTGCACAAGGAATGTAAGCATTATGTGCCACACAGCTACTAATGAAAAATATGATTTAAAGTTCCAGGCTCACAGACCACTCCACATTCCATAAGTTACATTTTCCCAGGTGTAGCTATTCACATCTCTTTCGGGCTGTGACAATAGCAGGACTACCTGGATAGAAGAGAAGAGAGACATCTTGGGGTGTAGGCAATATTAAAGGACAGGATACCATTTGCTGGAAGAAAAGTCTTTGACAAATCAAGAGAGCTTCAAGCCTCTGAACCTGGTGCTGTCTTTACTATATGTGTGGGTGGGGTTTGAGCTATTTGAAAATTTCTGTTTCTTTGTTCAGTGGTAACTTGCAAGACAGCTGTCACAGTGAATGTGGGGATATTTACTAGTGTACTTTTAAAAACAATGAAGCCCTGTGTGTGGGGTGAATTAGGATTGTGACATGGAGGAACTTGATGTTGGGAACTTGCTGCACAGTAAAATACTTTCTCCACAGAGTATGTTCCTGGAGAAGACTATAGAAGCCGGCTTGGCACTACATGGGCTGCTGAGAAGGGCATAGAGGGTTGTGTCTGGGCTTTCTGGTATCTTTTTAAAGAAGGAAGTTGGCTCAAGAGAGCCATAAAGGGACAGATTCTGTGTCTGGGCTCCAGGCTTGTCACAAAAGGGAGGATACAGTTTAAGTCTATAGGGAACTTGTTTGTATTTGTATCTGATCACCTAAGAAACAAAAGCATTTTTAACTTTTCCCACTTTTTGACAGAATAAATATCCTGTCAAATTAATTCCTCAAATCAAGGTTAATTTTTTAAGTGATCATAATGACAAACCAGATGAATTATTTAAAGACAGCATAGGACCATTCAGCATACTTCTCGTAGTATATCCTAAAGTCACACTTAAGTATTTTTGTCACTATGCCCATAGCGACATAGGCATGGGTGGTCCGGTAGTGCTCCATTTGTGATTGTGTGTTTCTGAACTTGCAGGAAATAATGAACGAGGAAATAATGAAAAAGAAGAAACAGAGCTTCTTTCTAAAATGGATGATCAGGATGAGTAAGATATACAGGGTCACTGAGGCACCAAGAGGAATATGAATCACATTCATGATGCAAAGGGGAATGTAAACTTCTGTTTTTAGCAGTTTCATTCCACCAATCCACCTTGCCAATGTCCTTTTTGCAAATTTCTATATTTTTCTTATGAAGAGGAGTTGGTTTGAGTAAACCTCAGAGGTTTCTTGTTATCCTAGATCACTCCTGTCCTCTTGTGTATGGTCATATTTACATTACCTTCAGGTGATTGTCAGAAATTTTAGTCTGAAAGGCAACTAGGGGAGAGCCAGTTCCAAGCCTCTCTGTGAGTTAGTGGCATTTGCAGACTGTGAAGGGATAGAACCTGGCCCCACAAGGAGGAGATCCCTGCCTGGAAGTCATATCATTTTCAATGTTTTGTTGGGTTTTTAATCTTCTTTTTTTTTGTTTATGTAACTCTAATTGCATTAACAACTATTTAAAAGATAAAAAGACGTGTTATGGAAGCCACTATGTATTTACTACTGGCTTGTTTTGGTGTTCTTTATTGCCTTCATTGTTTTGTTTTTATTGTCTCTATTGTATCCTGTTCTGTTCAATTTTTAATATGTCCATAGGTGGTGTCTGTAACTATTTTGAAGACAACAAAGGCACTGTGGTAATTATTGTTAATTTCATGAGGTTTGGAAGTCCTATATCATTTATGATGGTTTATTTTGATTGATTTTGTTTTATTTTTCTTTGTTTTATACTCTTTAAAATAAAAAACTTAAAAAAAAAGAAAGGCAATTGGGAGAGTATACAATACAATTCACATACTATGCATATATTTACAAATAGACACAACAGTTAATATTCATAGGATTGGATCAAATTTTGCATGTTTGTGTCTGGTGAACTCTGAGGAACCCTTGAAGATCACTATGTAAAATAACAACCTTAGTTATGTTCCTACCACTTTCTTTTGAAGGTCTATATTGTCATTGTTTTGAGGTCTTTGCTATTGCTATTTATTTGTCTTTTTTGTTTCTCTCTCTCTTTTTTGTTTTTTTTTTGGTACTGAGGATTGAACTTGTGACCTTGCACTTGCCAGGCAGGAACTTATGCCACTGAACTAAATCTCCAGCTGTTTCTTGTTTTTCTAGTGATTTGTTTTATTTTCCCCTACATCATAGGTGTACATGTAGAGGTTTATACATGCCTAGAACTTCTCCTAAACAAACTATGAGAATTGATTGTATTATGCGTGATAGAACAGTTACTTTGAAGAAAAAGAGACATTATGGTATCCATTGCTGATTTCCTGTTATCATGCTGTGAAATCCAGTAATGCTTTTATTCTTTGTTCAAAGTGGTTTTATTCTGCTTTGTATTACTTAAATTCAACATACATGAAGGAATGGACAGCTATTTTGAAGATAAAAAGAGACATTACAGTAACCATTATTAACTTTCCTATTGTCTGGTTTTGAATGCGTGTAATACTTTCATTATTCTATTTTGATCAGCTTTATACTATTTTGTTTTGTGTGAATTTATTGTGTATGAAGATACCGACAACTATTTAGAAGAAAACAAGAGACATTGTAATAGCTAATGTTGATCTCCTGTTGTCTTGCTTTGAAATCCTGTATCACTTAACATTGTTTTCTTGTGATCTGCTTTGTTTTGTTTTGTTTTACCCTCTTTAAAATAAAAAAGATATATGCATATATATTTGTATGGTATCACAACTTTCAAAGACAAAGAAAGCATAAGAAGTATGGGAATGTACAGGTCTCCAGGAGTTACCTTGACTGTTTGACATTCAAAACACTGATGCACTGTTGCCAAAAGTGTGCCAGATTTATGTTTTGAAAGTTTTAACATGATATTCTCAGAGAAATTTCTCCCAGTGGTCTATTGACCTGTCAGTCATTGAGCTCTAATTACATATATTCACTCTTTATTTTACTTTAGGGATTTAAATTTTCTAATTGGAGTTCAGGCCCGAGACTTGACTAAATTAAGGCAGAAGTTGGAGGAAGGACGCGATACTGCCTCCACGCTCCATCAGAATCTGAACAGTCTCTTTGCTGCTGATGACCAACACAGATGCCATATGCGGAGTCTCAGACACAAAGTTGCTGAGGGGTGCAAGCTGGCCAAATGCCTTGCCCACAAACTGAGCCCAGGTGAGGTGGACACAAGTCCTGGTTAACCCTGTCCTAACGCCAGGTGCCAACTTCCTAGGAGACACTGTTACACCATCATTCTTTATATCTGTTCTTCTCCTATCTGCCTTTTAGCAGTTTCATTCCCTCTTGGAGTCTTGGCAGGAAGGAACTAAGCACCCATCCAGCATCTTTCCAGGAACAGGGTTTGGCAGGTGGAGTCATGATGGATTGATAACAGTCTGTGATACAAATGAAAGTTTTCTAGTTATCCTCATACTGATTTTATTGTGAATTATAGGATGATTGACCCTTTGTTTCTTCACCTCTAAAATGCTTATAATATGTGTTGTGTGATAGTCGTAGCATTAGAACAGGGACGTTTAATCAGTATCATAGCACGTGGATGATGCCGTTCAGAGATTTTCATTTATGGACTTCATGTAGTAGAATGCAGTGGTGCAATGTTGCCAAAATAAACACTCAGCAGGTAACTTAGACAAAATTTCCTTCAATTAAATGATAAAAGCCCAATGGAAGATCCTAGAAAGTTAACAGACTTATGAGGTATTGTGTGGCAGAGTTGTTTCTCCTGGCCTTAGCAAAGAGAGAGCTTTGAATGGGAGAGCAACAGTGAGGTACCGTGGAGCTATAGGCCCCATGAACCAGCTATGTGAAATGAAGGAGGTGCAGCTGGAGAAGCTCAGGGTAGCTGGATTTCTCCAGTGTCTCTTCATTTGAGAAATGAAGTCTTTTTCCCTTTGCCCACTGGAACCTCAAGCATTCCTCTAGGAAAATCCATCAGCTAGAGGTCTTTAGTGTCCTGTTTCAGAATACCTCAGTAGGCCACTTTTTAAAGGCAAACATAACATTTTTCTAACCTCATATATGCATAATGTTTGTCTTTTCACCAAGATGGCCCAAGACTGGGTGAGATAAGCTGTCAAATGTCTGAATTAGATGTTTTGAATTTGATTGCAGGTAATCTAGATGATGAGGATGAGGATGATGATGATCAAATGACTCTGGATTCCAGGTAAGAGTGAACAATCAGGGGCTCATAAGCAAGTATGAAATTGAGTGGATTTTGCAAAAGTAAAGACCATGGGATCAAAGTAGTTACAAATTTCCAGAAATGCCGTGTCCCTTAAGCAGTCCTATTTTCTCCATGGTACTGATAGTATGAATCTGATTTATAAGGAGCACTAGGCAGCTATGGGAATTCTTACCCTTCAAGAAACTATTTGTTCAGTGTAGGAGTAAAATCAGAACAAAGTGCATGTTTTGTTTCTGAATTGCTGGAATGAGGCTATGACACGTGTGCCAAAGAAATAGAAGAAGGAACCAGCCTAGCCCATAAAGAAAATAATGTCATGTCACAATCTTACTGTGTAGTTTAAACTGGCCTTGATCTCACTATGTAGCCCAGGCTGACCTCGAACTTGCCGCCATCCTTCTTTCTCAGCCTTTTTGAGACTTGACATTATAGGATGTACCACTGCTCCTGGCTAGCAAAAGTTTTGGGAAGTGGAATTCTGGGAATTTACCAAGTTGGAACCTATGTTGCCTGGACCCCTACAAAATTAAACATTGTGTAGGCACAAGATTGAGCCCCTGAAATGGTTTTCCTTGGTTGTTCCCTCTCATCACTCTACCTCCCATGTACAGTTTAGTTTTCTTCCTCATCACCTTGTTATCTATCCAGTTCACTGAGAAGTGGTTGATCTTTCTATGTTTGTATCTGTTGGTCATCTGTCTGTCTCATTCTTATGGCAGAGAAGCAATGTGCAATACAGGGGTACACCATTTCCTTCATCCTTTTATTCATACTGTTGAAATTCACCCTTAACCTTTGATTGACACCCAAGTGGGGGCTGTGGATTTTTGTCCATCTCAATGAATCTTTTGTTCTGCTTTCTCTCATTAGTGTATGTGAGGAGGAAGAAAATGAAGTCCTGTCAGATTCATTAGATGACAAGTTTTTCCAACCTTCCTGTCATCCCAATGTGGCTAACCCACAGAAATGTGCAAGCAGCACCACTTTCTCATCACAGAAGCCTGAAGACTGCTCTGCCAAGGATGGACCCAGTAAGTAGTTAACTCATCCTGCAGATAAGTCCAGCTCATTTGTCAAGGGACCTCTGTGCTCTGCTCCTCTGTCTTTTGTGAGAATCACCTGTAGAAGGCCCAGGAGGCTGTTATGGCAGAGACAATGTGCCGAGGTCAGGAGTGTTGGGAGCTTCACTCTCTGACTGGGAGTCTGGAAGCCTAGAGCATATTTTGGTCGTTGTGTAGGTCTGTGGATTGGTGAGTGTAGACAGAGGAAGTGTGAGCTGTCATCCTTACTGTGTACACACAGCTGGCACAGAGCTCAAGTTAAAAGAGTGGTCATTTTCTAGCTTCTGTGATTTTCCTGGGAGTTGCCTTCACAACCAGTTCCTCCAAATTTCACTGGACATCCACACAGCCCTATTTGTACAATTATTTTGGAGGCCTATTTTTATTTTCTGACTTCCAACTCACATTTTCTGCCTTCTCAGAGGTTGGTTTCCTCAAAATTAAGTGCCTAGTTTTCCATCTCCCTCCCCTCTGGCTATGGTTGCATTCATAGCCCATGAGTCACACATGTATCCATAGGCTCAGTATGATCACACATGTCTATAATTCTAGTACTCAGGAGGCTTAGGCAAGAGGATAATTTGAAGTTTGAGGCAAGTCTGGGATGCACAGTGAGACTGTGTATGTGCATGCTCACAGGTGCATGCTTATTGTGCAAGACCTGTGTAGGGCTGCCTGAATTTGTTTCCTTTCCTACAAAGGACAGGGAGAAACAGTCTATATCAAATAAAGGCTGTTCCCTGAGGCACAAATGCTTAGCAAACCCCTTCAGTCTGAGTGTGCAGTAGGTTTAATGGATCCCATCATTGAGGATAAAACTCCCTGGGGACTTGTTTGAATCTATACTGTTCTTAGTAGGAAGTGCATGAAGACAGGGCTGGAAGTTTGGACACACTGAAGAAACAAACCTTGCTAAAATTGGTAACTGATAGTACATACAGTAAAGACATCCAGATTCAGTTCTTTGGAGTTCTAGGAGAGAACAACAGTTGAGTTTAGTTGTATCATAGGGCTGCATAAGACACTGAAGGAAGGCTCCCGGATGACAGGGAGTGGCTGTGATCATGTGCATTCTTATCTCAGAGCTCCCAGGATGTCAGGTTGACAGTGAACTCTCTCATAGATATTTGAAAAGAAACTGCGGGAGGCATCAGGAGTCGTTGGAGAGATTTTTGCATCAGTGATGCCTGTCATCCTTCCAACTCTTAACATCCTTTTTTTTTCTGTTGCTGTCAATGTTTTTAATACAGAAGTTTGTTGGTTTAATATGTTTCACTTTTCAACACAACTTAAAAAATCTTACTGAGTGTCCAGAGTGACTGATAGTGAATGATGAATAAACTTTGTCTTGAGGAAACATGGAAGACACACCAGATCCAGAGTACTACTACAGACAGAGTTGTGGATGTGGGAGGACACTAGAGGCTTGACTAGGGTCAGAGAGGGGCCATTCTGAAACTTAGGAGTATTTGTTAAGGGAGTGATGGGCAGCACTGTCAGATAAGTACATGGGGCTGGAAATTAGAATGATGACCATATGATTAGGGGTTAGTCATTTAGTGGTCAATGCAGAGAACGTTTTCAAGGGTAGTTGTGTGCTCACAGTCAGAACAAGGTTTGGGATAAGAAGAGTGGTGGGGGCTGGGTCCAAGGGCATGTTATAGTCAGCTAATCTGGAGTCTGAGGTTGGAGGCTTGGTTGAGCCTTGGAGATTGAGTCCATCACAGATGGGCACACATTGAGTCCACTTATCATTTAAAAGAAAAGAAAGGAAAAAAAATCAGTTGATACAGTTGATAGTGCAGAGATTGCAGAAGCAGGGGAGGCACTAAGGAGAGAGTGTGGGTTCAGACACAGTGACAAGAGTCTGATACTATTTGTGGTCAGAAAGATAAAGCAGAGCAGATACTGTGAAGACAATGTTAAAAAAAGAAATAAAAAAAGAAAAAAGAAATAGACATTAGTCAGAACGAGATACACAGAAGGAAGAGGCAGAGGTGCTTATCGCAGTATTCAGGAGGCTTTGTTGGCCACGACACCCCCCTGAGCAAGACCTGGTTTGGTATGAGGCTCTTGGAAGCCCCTACTTACTGAGATCATCCCTTCATTTGGTTGTGGAAATATAACTAAGTTTCATTAGGAAGAATTGTCCAGACCCCATTGGAAGGATATATAAGATAAAGATACGCTACTTTGTCATACTCCAAAGAAACAATAAATTCAGATTGTGCATCACATACCTAAAGCACTAGTACCCTGACTTCCATGCTTAGAGCTGCTGGCAGTCTGTTGCAAACACAGTAAATATGTGTGGATAGGTGGGACAAAAGATCAGACAATAACCAGTTTTTTTTTTTTTTGTCTTTTTTGTTTTTATCGGTACCAGGGATCAAACTCACAACTACCTGCTTGCAAGGCAGGTGCTTATGCCACTGAGCTAAATCCCCAGCCCTGACAATAACCAGTTTACAAGATTTCAAAGTCCTGAAAAGTTTCCATGATTTGGAACATGTTCTATAGTTACTTCCCTTTTTTTCTAGAACCCTAAGCCTTGAAGCCCTATGTATTTTTATGTTCTTCTCTGTGGATAGAGATCAACAACTCTTTCTCATCCATGTGCTCCATACTCTATAGAACCTTTTTTATACGAGAAAGGACTATGGTTAGTAATAATGGGATTATAGACATGAACTTATCTATCAATTCAGAGCCATATTTCTTGGGTGGGTTAATATTCATTTAGGGACATTCCTTCTGGCCACCTATATCTAATAATTCCCAAGGAGGATGACACCTTCTTTAAATATATGATGTCTGTCACATTGATTAGATCACTAAGTGGTTTCCCTAACATGCAGAGATATTAGTGATGGGTGTTCTCAAAGATGTTACTAAGGTAGAATTGTGGTTTTTATACTGAACCTTTTCTCTTGTTAGCTAGTATCAAGGAGACCTGTGCCCAAGGGCTGTCAAATGGAGAATAAGTTTCCACTTCTCAAAGCTACAAGCTTGCCAGGCAAGGGTGGAATCATGCACCCAGAGGAGCCCTTGTTTGGGAACACAGCTGTGTCAGTACTTGAACTATAATGACTACAAAGCCAGACTGAACTTTTCTTCAACTTCTTGGAGCTTTGCAGTACACACTAACCCTGGTTACTGGTGCCAGCCCTTCCAAGATATGGAGAGAAATCAGAATCTGAAACTCCATTCTATGTGTTTATGTCAGGGACTCATGGCTGGAGGAGAGTGGGTTTGTCTATTTTTCCTCTTGGACAGTCTGAACTCTCAGACTTTCTAGCATCAGTAGCTTGTTTAGGACCTGCTATGGTCTCAGAACCTGGACTTGCCACTATTGATTGTAACAGACCATACTATTTGTCTTCTTAGGTAGTTATGTCTAATTTCCTTATCTGAGACATATAATGTAATTCATATCAGATACATTCAACCTGTGGCCTGGTAACTGGATATAAGTGGTTTACAATGACTATTTTATGGTATCATTAACTTATAAAATTTTAATAGTATTTGACTCAATTAGCAACTTTTAGTCATAGCTTTGAGTGTGTGTAGTCAAATACTTAGATTATTTCTGTGATTTAACACAAGATGATTTTACCAGGATTTTTAAGCCTGGTTAGAGAAAGTTTCTGGTATCAGTATAAACTCTGGGCCCACAACTCTGTGTCCTGACATATGCAGCTTATTTTTCTACTTTTTCTCCCTCTGTTGTAAATGAAGAGAAGTGTCTGCACATAAAGCACAGAGCCAGTCTTCTCTATTAATCCCCAGTTAGCCCAGAATTCCCCAATGACAAGGTCACACTTATTTTTCTGTCCGAAGGTTATCATTATGTTATATACTTGCTATGTATTGGTTTTTACCCATCTTATTTTTCTTGAAATTTTTGTAAATTGAGAGTACTTTAACCTCAAAATACTTACCATTACTGTATATGTAAGAAATACCAATATAAAAGAAAATATCAGAGTCTTATGATTTGTGTCTAGATGTCCCCCTAAAATCTCATGTGTCCTAGATGACGCTTTTTCAAAGGTATCAGGACTATGTTGAAGTGGGGATTGATTCATGATGCAGTGCAAGGACCAAATGTACTAGGATCACTAGAATTAAGTGTGTGAGTGCTACCTGTTCTAAGTAACCTGGATAAAATATAAAGGATAGAAAGAGCTGAGGTTGTAACTTGTTGCTTTGCTACCTTTTCCCTTCCATGAATTGTTTCTCCTCTGTGGTGCCTGTCTACTGTGCCAGCCTATCTTGGAGAAAGCTAATTAGGGTCTGAAACTGTGAACAAAATAAACCTTCCCATCTTTAACTTTAGGTGTCAGGTATTTTGCTCAACAATGAAAGAAAAGTAACTAACACACAGGTCTCTATACCTTTTCTTACCTTTTGGATTTTCTTGTTCAAAATACTTTGGGTAGAAGAGTACATCCCAGTAAGGTCGTAGATAATGGTGGATCATGATGACTGTGGTTTTATTTTCAGAGCTGAATTTGGATGTCTGTCTTGAAATGAAGACTCCTCCCAAGTTGGAGAGTGATGCTTTTGAAAGTTCAGCTGTTATCACTGATGCACTTACTATCTCTGGCCTCTGTGACAATGACAGTGTCCTGAAACAGAAGATTATTAAAAGAAAACTATGGTTATGCAAATGGAAAATAGCTTGCAGATTCCCAAGCCTTCAGGCTACTTTTGATGCTTCCCATGGAATGAAGAATCCTCCCAAGCTGGAAGGTGATGCCTTTGAAGGCTTAGCTGCAATCATTCCTGAGTCTCCAATCCATGGTCTCTGTGATGCTGACAGTGTCCTGAAACAGAAGATTATCAAAAGAAAACTACAGTTATGCAAATGGAAAATGGCTTGCAGATTCCCAAGCCTTCAGGCTACTTTTGATGCTTCCCATGGAATGAAGAATCCTCCCAAGCTGGAAGGTGATGCCTTTGAAGGCTTAGCTGCAATCATTCCTGAGTCTCCAATCCATGGTCTCTGTGATGCTGACAGTGTCCTGAAACAGAAGATTATTAAAAGAAAACTATGGTTATGCAAATGGAAAATAGCTTGCAGATTCCCAAGCCTTCAGGCTACTTTTGATGCTTCCCATGGAATGAAGAATCCTCCCAAGCTGGAAGGTGATGCCTTTGAAGGCTTAGCTGCAATCATTCCTGAGTCTCCAATCCGTGGTCTCTGTGATGCTGACAGTGTCCTGAAACAGAAGATTATCAAAAGAAAACTACAGTTATGCAAATGGAAAATGGCTTGCAGATTCCCAAGCCTTCAGGCTACTTTTGATGCTTCCCATGGAATGAAGAATCCTCCCAAGCTGGAAGGTGATGCCTTTGAAGGCTTAGCTGCAATCATTCCTGAGTCTCCAATCCATGGTCTCTGTGATGCTGACAGTGTCCTGAAACAGAAGATTATCAAAAGAAAACTACAGTTATGCAAATGGAAAATGGCTTGCAGATTCCCAGGCTTTTGTGCTTAAGTTGCACAGGCAACCATATTTCTGGCTTCGGACACACTTATTAACACACTCTCTAGGATTGAAGCTCATTCTACTAGTGTTGTTTGTCCTGATAATTTATTCCATCCGGTATTCAATACAACTTTTGTACGGTTGCACCACTGTTTTCCATGGGTTGCTACCCTTGTTTTCATCTGCTGTTCGGACTCTGAACTCTGCTCTGTTGGTACTGCTTCTGTCAAGTGGTCACCGCATCATAGGAGAGACGCCTTTTAAACTCTGGGAAATATGTCATGTTCCTGAAATCAGATACTTTCTGGCTCTTTTGCCTTGTCTCCCAACCCTCCCTACCTCTGGTAGCTTTTTGATCTAAGAGCACGACTTCATTAACAATTGCACCAAGACTCTCCTCTTTGGCCTGATTAAGGGATCCAAACTAAATCAATCTTTAATTCTCAACTTAAAGATGCAAATGAAGAGTGTTAAAATTGCTGAGAAACACCTTTTCTCATAAAATCTAAATTGGAATCATAGCTCTACAAGGGAGAATCATCTTGGTCTTAAGACAGTTTTGCCTCCTCACCTATATGCACCCGTAAAATATCCCTAGATAAAGTCTCCATAGAACACATAAGTTAGTATAAAGGCATAGACTATGATCTGTTTAAGCATTGTTTGTTTGTTTCTTATTGTTTCCATTTCTACTTTTGCTCATTGAGGTAAGAGTGCAAAATGCAACTCTGCTATATCCAATGCCTGCCGATATAAGAGAGCACTTTAATGAACTTTGAGAAAAGTGAAGCCAAAAACCAGCTTTACCTCTTAAATGGTCAGAGGTACCCTTTGAGCATCAGTGTTTGTAAAAAGGTCTCAAAACATCTTTAAATTAGAAGGACTATTGGTCTGCTTCATCTCGAGTCATCAACATGGAAGTGCTCAAATGCTTAGTTCCTTCACTACAAAGGCTGAAGATCCAGCAGCCGTGGAGGGAATTTGCATTCCTTTCTCAACAAGACTGTGTTACATGGATAAAATTCCAAGGAAGAGCATGCAGATGGATACATTAGACTGTAGCCTCTCTACTTGAAGCACAAATGTGTATCTCTTTTAAAATGAAATAAAATAGGAAATAGTTGGTAATAAGTGTATTGAAATTCACTATCCAAAAAGCAGTACCTACTTCAGTTGCACGCAGTGTAATTTAGTGTTTATCATTTAAAATATAAAATGTAGGGCCAGGGATTTAGCTCAGCAACTCAAGTGATTGCATGGTAAGCCTGAGGTGAGTTTGATCTCTGGTGTGTGTGTGTGTGTGTGTGTGTGTGTGTGTGTGTGTGTGTGTGTGTGTATGTATAACCATACTAACTACGTAGCAGTTTTATTAGATCAGCACTACAATGCTTTATGTTTGGTCAATTATTTACTTTAGGTAAATTCCATAGATAAAACCCTTTGATGTTGCTCCCTTGAAGGAAATATAACAAATACTCAAAACTGAATCTCAGCATATGATTGTTCATTTGCACTTTGCTATGCCATTTGTGACATTGACATGAAGTATGAAGTAATCATCTGTCCCAGAGAAGCACTTTGAGCAAAAAACTTACTGAGTGGGCAGAGTATAGTCAAACATAATGTAATTTATTTTTATTTCAGAGGCTTTTTCGTAGAGATCTTGAGAATGTATATAGAAACACACTCTGTGTGACAGGGTATGCAGTCATTTTCAAAGACCCAGAGGAGAAGAGTTGAGCTGTGGTTATTCTCACTGTTCTCTCGTGGCTTGCTCCCCTCTGGGGGATTCCTTTTTCTCTTTTATGCACCTTGGAATGACACTCGGATTCTTCCCCAGGTGACCCGAGTCCATAGAACAAGATCATAGCCTCCCTTCCTCAGTGCTCAAGGAAAGGGGCTGAGGCTGTGGCCCTAGCTTTGGGGTTTTTGAGATGGGTGACTGTGACTTAAGTTATTGCTTCCATACACCCCACATCCTGTGGAATCACTGATTCCTGGGGCTGGAAGTTGATGCTGTTTGCAGTTCCTGTTTCCCCATGCCCAGTCACTTTTCACTGGTCTGGGATATGAGTTGAAGAAGGCATGTTTCTCTGCAAAGAGTCCATTCCTTCCGGCAGGTGTCTGTTTCTGAATGTATAACATGGATGAAGAGCATTCCTCACAGGGAGATGGAAATCCACTCTCTGTGTTCCCATTGCAGAGGATCAGAAGGAAAGTGGCTGGTGTCAGCAGCTTCTGGGTAGGGCAGACCAGGGACCCTATGTCCTTTTCAAGGTGGGCTGCATGTTTGAGAGGCTCTCCTGTACCCAGTGGATGTGACTCCCCTTCCACCAGGTTAAGACCTAGGCCTGTAGTTAGTTCATCTTCCCCCAAGAGACCTGCTGAGTCCTGGACCCTCTCACCACTAAGCGCAACATCCAGGACCAACTATCATCAGGCCCTGACCACGACTCTTGCTTGATTTCTCTCTCCCTCTCTCAGGAACTAAGTACTGCTGAAAGGAAGAAAAGATATTGCTGATGAAGAGAAGCAAAACATTAGGTGTAGTTTTTCTAATTCACCAGAAAACAGATAACAGCCACCAGTTTAAACTCTGAAGAGAACACTGGAGTGATTTTTTTTGTGATCATTGAACTGTCAACTGCTCTTACAGCTTTCACTCAATAGCCCAGTTGTGTTAGAGAAATTATGATTCCTCACCTCCAGTTTTGTTAAATACCTACAAAGACCAAGGCCTTAATATAAGGCCAACAGAGAGGCCCTATTTCTGGTCCTCTTAATTCCCACCCCACATAAGGCCAAGGACACCAGCAGCTGGAGAAAGACAGCAAGGCCAAGTGGGCATTGCCTCCCTCTGTGACACACTAGGCACGGGTAGTAATAGTGATGTGCTGTGATTTCCTGAGGTGTTCAGTCCGGGTGTAACACAAGGAAATCGTCAGACAAATGCACAGTGTATACCTATGAACGGAAGAGCTGATAGGTTTTCTTTAGTCAGCGTCACCACAAAAAAATGACAAAAATGAAGAGGTGACATTTTGTTTTAAAAAACATACATAGCACACATATGTAAAAGGGATCACAAATGTGATTCTTTCTGTGATTCTTGTCACAAACTGAATTGGATGAGAACCAAATCAAATTTCCTCACAAGGTCAACACTGAGTCTAGCTCTTGAATTGGATTTGGTTCTTGTCCAATCCTTGCCTTTGCTGCCTTCACTATTCTTATTGCTCCATGGCTGCTCTGTAAGGCCAGGATAAGCTGATTGGGTCAGAAGTTGTTTTTTTTTTTTTTTTTTTTGTCTTTTTCCTTTTTATCAGTACCAGGGATCGAACTCACGACTGCCTGCTTACAAGGCAGGCACTTATGCCGCTGAGCTAAATCCCCAGCCCTGGGCCAGAAGTTTTGATCTCTAGTTTCTGACCATGTCTTATTTTCAGGGATAAAAGTGCGTTAGTGCTTTTGAAACACAAACCCGCCCTCTCCTTTTTGTCTCACATTTGTAGGTGAAATTGACTTGTTTGTAGAGGACAAGTTGATGGTTGTCTGGCTCCTGGCCTACATTTGGTTGCAGTGTAACTTTCTCTGGTATTAAACTCAGCCTAAACATATGGTGAAGAACAGCAGGTGGCAAGCACATGTGTTAGTACCACGTTCTTCTTGTTGCTGTCTGCCTGCAGGCAGTGTCCACTTTGTACATTGCTTGTTCTTTCCTGTTGGCTCTGGTCAACTGGCCAAGGAGGCATCCATAGGAGCTGTTCAGGAGGCAGAAACATTGCACCTTCTATAAATTTGAAGCAGGGTCTAGGAAGCTGCTTTGAGAATGTGTAAACATCTTAGTTTTCAGTGTTTTTTCTTTAAAAATTTTACCAGTTTGTGTCATTGCTACCTGTGTAAAATTGTTAGATTTAGACCAACCTGGCCATTCTTTAAGTCAATGCTTTTTATTTATTGACTTTCTGGCATTCTAATAAAAAAAATAAAACTCTGTCTCCTTGAGTTTTAATTTTAGTCCAAAGCTAATATTAACATTAGTGCTATTGCTTTTCAGCAATGACTCGAGTAGGTTTTATATTCAATGTTATGATATTTTATTACTATTATTGATTTGATGGGTAAGGATAAAAATCAATATAAACACTGCCATTTTTCTATTTAAGTCTACATTTTCCCATGGTTTTTAGGTTGCAGTTATTATATGTAATAGATTATGCTCTTTATAGTTCTGTCTTGTTATTTGTGTATGTGTGTTCTGTTTGGTATTTAGGAAATGTTGTTTACCTTATTTTAATGTTACTGTAAATTATTTTTGAGAATTTTAGTTTCCTTTACCTGGAAAATATCTAATATTTGCTTATGTATTTGATGTCATACTTTTTAACTCCAGATGTCGATGACCAACGACATTATTCATTTTCTTTATTTCTACTCACCATGTCTACCACTGGAGTATCATTCCACTCATTCAAATATATTCCAATTACATTTCTCCCATCTATTCACACCTTGATTGTTGGGTGACATCAACGTTGAATATATTGCTCACTCTGTGTTTGAACTCAAATGCTCCCAGACTATTTTTTTTTTTTTTTTTTGGTGAAGTTCATTGTTGAGAGATTCTCGTCAGGAAATCAGTCTTCTCTGAAGCTTTCAAACCTGACATTTCTTCTCTACTGCTTTTACACAGGGCTACACTGGAGGATAAGAAGGCACTTGCCTCAAGTGATCTTTTTTGTATATTTGAAAATATTGCTTTTTTTTGCGGGGGGCCGGGGGGAGATAGCATGTTATACATTTGGAATCTGGGCTTTTATTTTGCTGTACTATGCATTTCAAATTTTACCAGTTGTTTTATTCTTTCTCTTCTCCATAGGCATGTGGAGAATGCTTCTGCTCAGGTCTCTTTCCTCTCCTCAGTTCTCACTTCTCAAGTTTCAGCCTCACCCTTCCCTTCCTGTCACCTCCCCTGTGGCCCTGCTCTATTATCTGAGTGTCAGAGGTACTTTGGAATTACCTACAAAGTGCCTACATTTACCTTTTAGGAATGATTCTCCCTGTAATCTGTCATGAAGCAGATTTCCCTCCTTTATTTGTGTAGTCTTAACTCTTTGCTTGGCTTCCCAGAATGGCTGAACAAAACCATTTGAGGTTTCCAATATTCTTTGGCTCCTGGTTTTTTGGGAGCAGAATTATGAATGTTGTTCTGACATTTGCATTAATGCATAGGTCTTTTGAAGCATATGTTGAGGCATTCTTTAACTATTATCCTAGAAGGGATCCAAGCTCAAGAGTTTCAGTAGTGTTTAAAAATATACAGAAACCTACAAAACCCCATTTGCCAGGTTCAAATATTTCTATCTTATTACTGAATTTTTAAAATGTAGAATATCTGCACTCTTACCTTTATAAAAATTATTCAAAACCACCTCTTGATAGTATATTGAATCTTTATAACGTGGGTGCAGTTTTTAAAGTACAAATGCTTTTTAAAATTATCATAATTGTGTTACAATAATTTTCTTTCTTTCTTTGTTTCTTTCTGTCTGTCTTTCTTTGTTTCTTTTCTTTCTTTCTGCCTTCCTTCCTTTTCTTCCTTCCCTCTGGTACAGAGGAGTGAATCCAAGGCCTTTGCACTGAACTACATCTCCAACTCTTTCTTATTTATACTTCTATTTTGGAATACATTCTCGCTAAGTTGCTCAGATTGGGCTTGAAATTGTACCCCATCTGCTTTAGCCTTCCAGAACTCAGTGATTATAAAACTAAGCCACTGATAGTACTTGGGTCCTCTTTGACACGGGCAAGTGCCTGCAAAGGGAATTCTTGGGAAAGAGGGAGGCAGAGGTAGGACTTGTCCACCTGTAGGGAGTCAGACCAATTTTATTTTTCTGATTCTGGGGTGTCATGTCTCACACTCTGGATTCTCCCTCTGGCGATTTCAGGTCAGATCTCCATGTGCTCTTCCATTTAGTTGGGCCATTTTCTTCCATTGATTAAATGCAGATTGGTTTTTGCTTCTCCATCCTGAGAAGATGGAGAAGTTCAGGTTCAAGGAGGCAGTTGCACCATATTTGCTTTGTCCCTCCTGAGCCTGCAAGTTTGTCCTTCATCATTGGAAGACTCCATAGAGAAATGGCTAACACATTGTATTGGGGTAATAGAGCCTGGTATCCTGTCTGGGGACCAAGACATGGCTGCCAAGGGGCCTAGTGACCTGTCCTACCCACTTCCCCTCACCTGACTCTGGGCCTGGGGTGTAGGTCTCCTGCATGGAAAAGGCAGTGATTATGAAATTCTATGTTACTCACCCAGATACCTCATAACTGGGCTGATCTTACTACTACTGACAGGCAGAAGAGAATTTAAACATGATACACCAAATTTTCTTCCTACTGGGCCAATCAGGTAGAGTTCATTTTCCTTAGATTCTTTCCTGCCAGCATTTCCCCAGCTTCTGAATTTCTTTTGGAGTCAGTAAGGG